TTAAAATTGAGTTAAATTTGAGTTTTGATTGGTTTTTTTACTGTTCAAATCATAAACAATCGCCCCAAATATTCAATGTCTAAAATCAGTTCAAATTTTATATTTATATACTACTAGTACTAATATCCATGTACAACATGGGTGTTGAGTTAATGATTATATGTGTAAAGTTATTTATGTCTAATACCAAACCTAAGTTTAGAGCAAAAATAATATAAAAACAAAATCACGAAGTATAGATTTTTGCCATGTCAACATCTGAAGCGTGAGAATCTGCCACCTAAACTCAACACGTTTGGAATTAATATATAAGGATGGATATATAGGGAGGGAATCTCAAATTAATAAATCTACAATAAATTAATAAGTCCATGCACACACCAATGATGGTACTTCCAATCACTTCAAGAAAAACAAAACTACTACAATTCAGTCAAACTGATAATAATATGGGTCAATGATCCAATCGGCTATCCCAAGCATCAGCAATAACATACTAAAGCCCATAAATAATTCAGCAGCCCAGAAATTGAAGTGGTGTCTCATTCATTATAGAAGCCATTAAAAACAGTTGCACACATAAATAATAATTCTTATCAACCTTCATAATTGAATCAAAATATAATTCCTTTTTAGGGTAAATTTTGGAAATATTTGGTTGTAAATAAAAAAGGAGGATGAATCAATGTGGTGCTTATTTAATTAGCTTATAACCTTCCATGTATTTAAATAAGTTTAGTTTGATAGAATTTTTTCTTTTTAAAGCTCTTATAAGCTTTCTTGGATAACATTTCATATAAATACAATGAAAATTCTATTTCAAACAACTTTTCAATTAACTTTACCAAACACTTTTATTATAAGCTATTTTTTGAGTAGTAAGTCATAGGTTATTAAATATAAACTCAAATCAATTTAAAAACTATAAACTAGCTTATCATCTATGTTTATCATACATAGCCCAAGAGTCTATTTAGATAATAACACACGAGATAATACTCGAGAGAGTCAACTTTCTCTTTCAACATTGAGAGTTGGAAGTAATTAACAAGCTTAGACTCAAGTTCTTATCTAGTCCCAAGTTGTTAAATTATCGAGTCAATAAATGATATGGAACTCGGTTTGTGAATTCAAAATTTATTAAGTTGAGTGAGGTTAAACATTTATAAATGATGCAAAAATTGTCATTTATCAAGGTTAACGAGCTAAACTTAACTAAACGAGCTCGAGTTGAAAGATTAAGAAGTAACCAATTAGGTGCACATATGCCTTTTTTAGTTTTCTTTTGCCTTCAAAGAAATAAAAAATTTGGGTCTGAGGCACATGACCAAAACTTCGAGACTACAGGGACCAATGTGCAAAGTGATGGCTCACTTTCTAAAATGTAATTATCCACAGAAAGTAACTAAAAATCAATTCTTGCTGTAAAGGCCTCAACTCGAGCACAACCTCTGCCCCCCATTGCGAGGCCGATTGAGAGCAGTAAAGAGCTGAATAAAAGAATAACCAGTGAAGTTTCTGAGCTTAAAAGAGAGTAAAGGAAATGCCGCAACCTTCAACAATGTTTACGAAGCCATTCGTTTCAGCTCCATCTACTTCTCTTTGGAGGTGTGTTTTACTCTTCCCAACTTAGCCGCTTTCTATTTTTCTCTTGTTTATGGTTTGAGTCCCACATTTAATTATTGGTTTGCTCTGAAAGTTCTCATTTTTGGGGTGCCCATGTGAAATAGTGATCTTGTTCTTGGCAAACTTTTTTGAATGACCTGCAGTCACTCCAGCTCTTGCTAAATATGGAGCTTTTTAGCGAGTTTTATGTGTTTGTTGAAATAACTGTGACACTAATTTTGTGATGAACTGTTAAAATGATGGATATGTCGGATTTGTAATTCCGTACGATGTTTTGTACTGTTTGGTTTTCTCTCCGTGGGAGTAGGATTTTTTTTTTTTTTTTTTTTTTTTGTTCTGTCAGTATGAAACTTGTGTTCTTTTGTCTCCAGCAAATCATATGGCTTGAAGAACTCGGTTAATCCCAGTGTTAGGATATGTAAAAGGGGGGAGATTTTGTGTTTTGGCATGCTAGCACCTAGGAAGTTCATGCAGAGGAAGAAAAAAGTTGAGATTTTTAAGGATGCTGCGGATGAAGCTGACCAGAGAAATTGGTGGAAACTAATGCTCGAAATAGAGGAGGCGGATTCAGCCATTGAAGTTCTTAAAAGCCGGAGGGTAAAAAACCAGGCTTTGCCCAAGGACCTTGTTGTTGGGACTTTGGTTAGATTTAAGCAGCTCAAGAAATGGAACCTTGTTAGCGAGGTACTTCAAATCCCTGTGTTTGGTTCTCGTCATTTGCAATCTATTTATATGTTTAATGCTATTGCCCCGTTGCCCCTTTTTTTTTCATATTTTTCTTTTAAAATTATTTTTCTGTCTAGGTTCTTGAATGGCTTCGAACTCAGCATTGGTGGGATTTCAAGGAGGTTGACTTTCTGATGCTTATGACGGCCTATGGTAAACAAGGAGACTTTATTAAAGCTGAGAGGGTATTAGGCTACATGAGCAAAAAAGGGTACCCGGCTCATGTAGTATCCTATACTGCTCTTATGGAAGCATATGGAAAAGGAAGACAATACGATAAAGCCGAGGAAATATTTCGTGGAATGCAATCTTCTGGTCCCGAGCCATCTGCCATCACGTATCAAATAATTCTCAAAATATTTGTTGAGGTAATTAATCTTAATATTTTCTAGAAATATATGCCGGAAGATGCATTTTCTCATGTTCTGCAATGATTCCTTATTGGTGTCCCTAATATATTAATTTTGAAACTCTTCTGTACTCTTTCAGGCAGACAAATTTAGAGAGGCGGATGAAATATTTGATACTCTTCTGGATGAAAAGACATCACCTTTGAAACCTGACCAGAAAATGTTTCATATGATGATTTATATGCACAAGAAGGCAGGGACCTATGAGAAAGCTCGTAGACTATTCGCACTGATGCCCGCGAGAGGAATCCAGCAAACCACAGTTACATATAATAGCTTGATGTCGTTCGAGACTAACTATAAGGAGGTCTCAAAGACTTTTGATCAGGTAGAAAATCTTCTGCAGCTTTAATTGACTGAGTTTCACCAAGCAGTTATCTGGACACAATTTGTCAATATGAGTTTATGGATTGAGATCCTTGTATCATTATGCTAATTTTCTTTGCGTATTTCTCTTTGATGTTGTGACTACTTGCATGCAGCTTCTTCAACAGTTAAACCATGTTTCAAATCAAGCATATTGCTGTATTTGGCCTATTGTGAATTTACCTAATTTTATGAAGTGAATTTGTTATCAGATGCAAAGGGCAGGCATTCGACCTGATGTTGTGAGCTATGCACTGTTGATTAGTGCTTATGGAAAAGCTAGAAGAGAAGAAGAGGCTTTAGCTGTGTTTGAGGAGATGCTTGATGCTGGTGTCAGGTGTGACTATGTTATGATTCTGCAAAACATGTTCGTGTTATAAAAATCTACATCGAGCTAATAATAGCTGGGATCATCACTGAATTTTTTTTTTTTGTTAAATATTTTTCCCTTAGATTGGGTGTGTAGTTGAGTAAGATGGGCTTTCTTTTATTCGCCAAATGTAGATCCTTTCAATTGTAGACCTTTCAATTGCAATCTCTTTGCTAGTTGGTTTGTTCCTCTGTTTGCTTTAGGCGTAAATGTATTTAATTTCTTCAGGCCAACCCGGAAAGCGTATAATCTTCTACTTGATGCATTTGCAATCTCTGGAATGGTAGAGCAAGCACGAACCGTCTTCAAGAGCATGAGAAGAGACAGGTAATTTTTATTTGTTTATTTTGATGACAGAAGAACTACATGCCACTTATCTGTCGTCTTTGCTTAATATGATTTAATGCCGGGTCATTTTTCATCTTCATTTTTCATTCAAGCTTTTTTATTTTGAGCATTACCCATCGTGCATAGTTCTATTTTAGATGCTGATCTTGTTGAATGTGAAGCCTGCAAAAAGGCCTTTTTTTTATGCTGTTAAAGATGGGAATGGAGTTGGAGATGTGATTTCACTTTTATATATTGTATTTAGCTTTAATTACAAAATAATAACATAACAAATTAGTTATACTCCTCCATTTTGCGGTGCAGGTGCACCCCGGACCTCTGTTCGTACACGACCATGCTCTTGGCTTACGTAAACGCATCTGACATGGATGGGGCCGAGAAATTTTTCAGAAGGATAAAAGAAGACGGGCTTGAGCCCAACGTTGTCACACACGGCACACTCATCAAAGGGTATGCTCTATTAAATAATCTCGAAAAAATGATGGAAAAATATGAGAAAATGCGGTCGGGCGGGATCGAACCTAATGCCACAGTACTCACCACAATCATGGATGCTTTTGGGAAGAATAAGGATTTCGACTGTGCAGTAGTTTGGTTCAACGAGATGGTGTCGGTTGGGATTTCGCCCGATCAGAAGGCGAAGAATATTCTCCTGTCATTGGCGAAAACGGTTGAAGAACAAAATGAGGCCAAAGGGCTCGTTGAAAACGTGTCGTCTGGTCGGGTTTTGAAAGATGATATTGGGGGTGATGATGATGATGACAGCGATGATGATGTCGACATTGATGATGTGTCGTCTGCTCGGGTTTTGAAAGATAATATTGGGGGTGATGATGATGACGACGATGATGATGTCGACAATGATGATGTGTCGTCCGGTCGGGTCTTGAAAGATGATATTGGGGGTGATTATGATGACGACGATGATGATGTCGACATTGATGATGATGCTGAAGATGATGTGTTGGGAAATAAACATGATGAGTTGATAGCTATTGGTGGGGGATTTCAAAGTGAACATATTGTGAAAGCCTGTGACATGTGAAGTTCTATGATCTTGGATTTTTGTTTTATTTTCATTTTTTTTTTCTGGAGAATTAATTTGCATAGTGTTTATAGTATTATGTGATCTAAAAATAAAAGAAATTGTTCTAGGATAATGGAGAACAGTTGATATAAAGAAGTTTGCTTGCTTTTCTTGGTTACAAATGGCCATCAAGGTCTCACATCTCAAACATTCAGATGTTAGTTCTAACAAGACAAAGGACTCATAGTAGAGATATACACTTCTTCCATAATACAAGGTTTAAGAATTAAAGCCCTAACCAGGATACAAAAGATACTAATACATACCACTGGCCTTAAAAGGGTACAAGTCGAAAGACAAATGAAAAATCACAGGCCAATGGAAGTGGATTCATACATGACGAAACTCGGTTTTGCTTCGGTTACATTATAGATATTTTCCTTTTTTTTTTTGCTTCTCGAGTCTTTGGCTCATGTAATCATCACAGTTATTGCTGCTGCTCGAGAACTGGTTTTGTTTGAGAGGAATTCGGGAGGTCGAGCCCTTCTTTTCTCATCTGTTGCACCTCCATAGGGGATAGAATCTTGATATACCAGACACTGTTCACAAATTCCCTGCAATAGAACAATTTACATTATCAAAAGATACCATACTCCTTAATGTGCTAAAGAATTATTTTATATACTGTTGTGATATATTCTGTAAAGAACAGCGGAACAACCTAATTAAAAAAAAAAAAAAGAGAACAGGAGTTGTGACCATACAGAATTTAAAATTTTTTATTCAGCAATCAACAAAGGATTTAATAAGGAAAATATGAAGGCATGGTAAAGTAAGGGACTTACTGCCAAGGGTCATCACCGAGGAGAAGAACGTCATTCTCCCGGTCAACGAATACAAGCTGCCAGCCTGATCTCTGTGGGTCCTCCAATAAACCTTCAAGCCCGAACATCCGAGCCAGCTCACTTCTCAGCTCGGGATAGCTGCTAAATTTGGAGATATCGAGCGACCGCCCGAAGGACCCTGACTTGTGAACCTGTCCATACAAACATGTCCAATTCACTAACAATACTTTTAGCTTTCGATTAAAGGTCACGAGTTTAATTCTTAACGTGGAACAAAAAACAAAGAAAGAAACAGAAGGTGTACGTATTCGAGCTTGAACAAAATGCATTTCCAATCAGAATTCTATGTTAGAAAAATTCTTGTTGGCCAATTCGGAAAAGATTTATAGCATCTAGAGTTTCTCTAACAGGACAGGTAGCTGCTGAGTTAGCATGACCACTAAGACAAGGTCTAACTACAAATCTATCTTTAACGTTATAAATAACTTCTTGTTATCAGAAAGTGAAACAAACACCAAGAGTGCAGGTTCACTTTTTGCTAATTAGACCAAACTGAAAGTTAGTTTTTGTGATAAGCATGTGCTTTCAAAAAAAGGTAGAGAAATATGGCTTAAAACTTCAAAAAAGAAAACTCTTTTCATTTTCGTTTCTTCTTTTACCTTAACAAAGGCTCCTGAGTTCGGGTTTGTTTGGTCCAAATTCTCCGAGGGTTGCAAATAACCCGATTCATCCACGCAACTCGATGTGGTCATGTCTGATTTGAGGGGAAAATCAGCGGCTGCGCCACCTCCAAACTCGGGGCCCGCATAAGGTATCGGTATAGACTCGCTCTCATTGCCTCCGTTCGACATGCCGTTTACCACATTAGCTGAAGAGTTATTACAAACCCCAAACAACAAATTGCTATGTGAATTGCTTGGACCCCGAAAGTCTGAATATTCACGACCTGGAAAAGGTGGCAACAAGGCTGAGATGTCTGAGACCTTAGAATTAGGAGTCTTGAGTTCTTCTAACTGGGGCATGCCAAAATGAGAAGCCTTGTTTGGAATCTGTGGGTCCAATGCAACCCGTTTGGAGGATGACGATTGAGAGACTAATGAGGTGGGCCCACCGTGTGAGCTCATGAGGTTGTGCATAGAGGGATTGTTGGAGGATGATGGTATGTGGGCCCCGATGAGGTCAGACAAATTCTGCAGATGGCTCGTGAACTGAGCCTCAGAGACCGGTTCTAACGGCGAGCTCTCGGGATTTGACTTTTTGACCTGTTTATCTTGAAACTCCAGGTAAATTTGCTGTTGTTGGTCGATAACCGCCGGCTGGTGGAGTTGAAACTGCTGCTGCTGCTGTAAAAACTGACCCTGAGAAATGATGTTTTCTGGAATGTTATGGGGGAAGGTTTGATGGGCCTGGGGTTGTTGTTGTAGCATTTGACTCAGCATTAATGAAGTGGGAATATTTGGAATATTTTGCTGGAATTGTAGGAGTTTCGAGGGATCTAATGAGCTAGAAGTGTCCTGAAGAGCTGCAGCTGCCATTACATGGTAAATATTATCAGGCTGTACAGAGTTGAAAGACGAGTCGAACCTCGGTTGCATAAATGGCGAAACACCAATGTTTTGGAAATTAAGGGATTGAAGTCCTTGGTCCACAAAACCTCCACGGAGAAACGAGAGTGGAGAATTCATGCCCATATCACCATCTTTAAGGCCTGAAATAACCCAAAAAAAAAAAATAAAAATGCATAAATATATATAACTATAGTTGAGGCTGGGTTATAAGATAATGCTCCCCTACCCACGGTGGCCACATTTTAATATGCCAACAGCTCATGTGGCATGCACACATTGGTGATGTATTTTTTTGAACATATTAATATCACCAATGTGTGCATGCCACATAAGCGGTGGGCATATTAACATGTGCCCACCGTGGGTAAATGAGCATTATTGTATAATTACATAGTCCCAATTGTTGGTGCCCTTGTAGAACTTACTACGGTTTCATATGTCACATTGACACTCATCAACTCTAAAAATATTACAAATAGACCCATTTTTATAGCCTATATGTAGTATTAGAAAATTTTGAGGCATGTAAATGTAAAATGTATGATGGGATTTGGGTTTATATGTAAAGTTGAGGATACAATTGTTGAAGTAGATTAGATGATGATGAAGTCACAACATCAGCAATTTCTTTAAGTGGAAGCAGTTGCTGAAAGTAGGAAGATTCAATCTCAAGTATAGATTTTGTAATTTGCAAACAAGTTGCGGTTTTATGTACTTCAGAGAAAACTTAAAAGTGTTGTAAACCAGACCAGAGAATGAGGGGAGTCCAGCTGGCCATGGCCGCTTTAATCTGAGAGAGAACGGAGATGGGTACATAGGGAAAGTTGTCAGAGGCTCAATCTCCCACAATGAGACTCTCGGTTGCCTCTCGCCCGCAGTCGATTCATCCCAACCAACCTGAATGAGATAAAAAACCACTGAATCACAATCAATGAGTAACATTTGGTAATTGATATACAACCTGAAATTGGTAACTCTTTATTTCGATAATATGCATCTCATAGCCAAAACCAGTGAATAAAAACTGAATTTTTTATCTCTATGTAGACCTTTACTGAGCGCCAGTGAGAGTTTGACCAACGAACAGGATCCAAGTCACTAATGCCAGTAATTGTACCCATATACCTAAGACCAGATAATAAAATATATTAATTTACTCCCTTAAAAAAAAGACTGATATGTGGAACAGGAGAGAGTAAATAAAAAATAAAATCATTAATATAGTCAAAAGTTGCTAGGGCAGATAATAATAACTTGATCATAGCCAGAAGAAATATTTATGAGCCATACACCAACTGGAAAGCATGTCTTTAAATTTGTAAGGAAATCAGACATACCTACGAACGCTCGATTCTTCAGTCTCAAATAGCATCCGAAAACGCATACCCACGGAAACTCTTGTATGATAAACTGCTTTGGCGTATTTAACCAAAGGTATCACAAACTCAGATGGGCTCGCCCTGAAAAGTTTTAAATAACTGTGAATATGCAAGAATTTTTTGCCTGAATGAATGTGAGCAGAAAATAAACAGAATTCGTTTGTTCACCTTGGATTATAGAAAATAGTAAAACGACTATTAGTGGCTGCTGCATGGGCAGCAGCAGCAAGAAGCCCAATGTGCATGCTATCGCTCGATAACACTGATGAAGGCATAACTGTTTGAGGTCGATTTGCACGACGTATCCCCAAGAAAAGCTGATTGTTTTCGTTCCTGATGACATGCAAAATAAATAAATAAATAAATAAAAAAATAATATATACATTTATAGAAAAAGAAAAAGAAAAAAAAAGGAGGCTGGAGGATAGCATTTATTGCAGAAATTTATAATGTCAATGGAATTAGATTAAGAAAGCAAAAAAGGCTAAGTGTTGTGTACAGCGAGGCGGTTCACAACATACTCACAAATAATAATAATAAAAAAAAATGGTTAATACCAGATGAAAATAACAGAATCCCCCGCGACTAGTCTCTTTGCACTCACAAA